ATATATATACATTTATATTTTTGTTTTGTTAATGTTGTTAAGTGCTGTCGATTCTGTTCTGACTCATAGTGACCCTGTGCAGGGTGTCCAAGGAGCAGCTGGTGGGTTTGAGCCACCAACTTTGCGGTTCAAACTGACCTTTTGATCTAGTACCTTATCCTACAGCACTAGACCAGGACCCCATATTTATGATTATATTTGTATTTATATTTACATACACATAGATAGTGCAGTCCTGGTGTGGCGCTGTAAAATAAGCGCTGGACTGCTAACCACAAGGTCTGCTCCTTGGAAATCCTATACAGTATAGCTATGCATCAGAACCACCTCGAAAGCTCTTATGATGACACAGATAAATATATGTGGATATGTGTGTTTGCACTGTTACCTACACACTGTTCGGCACTTGCTGTTTTCTCTCTTAACAATGTATCTTGGAGCTCTTTCTGTATTCAGCACACTTATATCTCTGTTTCTTTCTTATATATTTGCACAAAGCATTCCATTTCATGATCTGAAACAGCCCCATTTATCCACATATATTCCTGTTGTGTAAAATGCCTACATGCCCCATTCTTTCTACAGGTTTTCATTTTTAAAATTACTTTAAAATAAGATGCATCTGCAAGGTGGGTATCCTGTTAGGGCTGTTTGCTTACTCTGAGAACTTTCTGGGCTCTGAAAGTTGTGGGAGAGGGCAGTCAGGAAAGGCTGGAAGCACCATGTTAGACCCTTAGGGAAAAGATCTAATGGCATTTCTTCTTCCCTCCCAGGAAAACGTGGTCATCTGGAAATTTCAGACTAAAGATTATGTCTACGGAAACCTTTACGAGAACCGTGTCACTATCTCAAGCAATGCTGAGCAATCAGACGCCTCCATCACCATCAACCAGTTGACCATGGAGGACAATGGCACCTATGACTGCACCGTTTCACTGATGGCAGACCTGGGTGGCAAAAGCAAATCACGTGTCCGCCTCTTGGTCCTCGGTGAGTGTCTCCTTCTCCATCTCTTTCCTAGGGTTGTAGGGCAGAGGATGGGAAGGGGGCTGTGCATGGAGGAGAAGCACCCTGGTGGGAAGATAACAGTCAGAGGCAGCAGTGGATAACCAAGAGCTAAGGCTCTTCCCACGCCTGGTCTGTCCCACACAGGCCTGGGCTGGAATGACCAGGGGTCCTTGAAAGCTGCTCCAGGCAGCTGGAAGAATGGCCTGAATGGAATGTTCCTTCATTTTGAGTTCCCCAAGAATGGTAAAGGAGGAGGTTGAAGCAACTTCTCCTGCCTTGAGCATTATTACATGAACATGCCTGCTTTCTCATGTCCTCGCCAGTATTATTACTGCTCTTTTTCATTTCTATTACTTTGTTAAAGAGAAAATGCTATCTCCTTACTGTCTTGATTTTCACTTGCCCAAGCACTAAAATGGGACACCATGTTGGTATTTCCTCCTATTTGAATGACCTATTTTTGTCCTCTGCCTGTTGTCTAATTGCTTTTCTTATTAATTTCTAGGAGCTCTTTGCATGCTAAAGATATCCACTCTGTGTCATAATAAATAATTTTTTCTTGTAGTTGTATTTATAGTGTCCTTTGACACACAGAAAAAAAAGAAAAAAAAAAGTCTATTGTGTTGTTAAGTGTCATCAAGTTGGTTGCAACTCAGAGATCTTGTTTATTGTTTTTGAGGAGTGGCTAGTTGGTTTGAATCACTGACCTTGCTGTTCAAATCGACGTTTCAGTCCAGAGCTGATCCTACAGTGCCACATATCTACTGTAATTATAACTAATTCCTTAAATAAGCACAGGTGGGAGAAAGATGAGGTTGTCTGGTACTACAAAGATTTACAGTCTTAGAAACTGTTTGTTGCAGTTCTTCTCTTTCCTACAGGGTTGCTATGAATTGGACTAGACTGGATGGCAGTGGTTTGGGTCTTGGTTCTTCCTTTTCTCACATGTCATTGCATTATGGGCTTTCAAATATTAAAAATTCAGTCCAACCTAAATTTAAAAATTCACTGATGTCTAGTTTGGGCTTGATCCCCTAAAACTTGGAGACCAGCAGCGGTGAAATGAGGTCATGGGTCTGCTTTACCACTCTTATTAGTCTATCTCCTTTCACCCCTATTTCTGGATCCTCTAAAGTGGTAGCAGAGGCAGGGAGGGTTAAAGGGGAAAAGGAAAGGGCCCATTTACCTAGCTAGGTAATTTGTGGTTTTCTCTTGGCTCTCACATAATCCCAACCACGGTGGGTAGTCCACTGCTAGCTCCATTGTGGGGGTGCATTAATGGGATCCTCAGAATCCCTCATGGATGTTCACTTTGCATCATTTCCTGAGACAGGTACTATGCCTTCTAGCTAAACTCTCATCTGCCTGTCCATTCCGCCCCTGCTCTCTGCAGTCCACTCCAGGTTCCTTTTGGCCCAGCAGGCAGCTCTCTGGCACAAGATTTCTTTCAGGATAACAAGATTCATATTCTTACCTTGCTAAGTCTTGCTAAAAGCAAAAAACCAAACCTGTTGCTATCAAGTTGATTCTGTATCATAGTGATCCTATTTGTTGTTGTTGTTGTTAGGTGCTATCTAGTCGGTACCAACTCATAGCGACTCTATGCACAACAGAATTAAAAACTGCCCGGTTCTGGGCCAGCCTCACAATTGTTGCCATGCTTGAGCGCATTGATGTTGCCACTTTGCCAATCCATCTCGCTGGGAGTCTTTAGGACAAAGTAAAACCCACATAAGGTTTTCAAGGCTGTAGTATTTACGAAAGCAGATTGCCACATCTTTCTCCACTGGAGAGGCTGATGGGTTCAAACTACCAACTTCTCAGTTAGCAGTTGATACCTTAACCACTGTACCACTAGGGCTCCTTGTTGTTGTTTTGTGGTTAAGTGTCATCCAGTAGGTTCTGACTCTACACACAACATAGTGAAATGCTTCCACCATCCTTGCAATTGTTTTGTTTGAAGCCATTACTGCTGCCACTCTGTCAATCCATCACCTTGGGGATCTTCCTCTTTTTTGTTGACCCTCCACTTTATCAAGCATGGTGTTCTTCTCCAGGGACAAGTCCCTCCTGATAGCATGTCCAAAGTACTAAAGATGAAGTTTTGCCATCCTCCCTTCTAAGGAGCATTCTAGCTATCCTGTTGCAAATCACATTTGTTTGTTCTTCTAGCAGCATGATTCAAATGCCTCAATTCTTCTACAGTCTTCCTTACTCACTGTCCAACTTTCACATGTGTATGCGGCAATTTAAAATACTATGGCTTGGGTCAGGCACATCTTAGTACTTGAAGTGCCATTTTTGCTCTTTAACACTTTCAAGAGGTCTTTTGCAGCAGATTTGCCCAAGATAAATCAATCTGAATTGATTTATTAACTGCTATTTCCATGAGAGTTGACTGTGAAATCTAAGCAAAATGAAGTCTTTGACAACTTTAATCTGTGCTCCATTCATCATAATGTTATTTATTGGCCCAGTGGTGAGGATTATGTTTTTGTTTTAAGGGTTCCTTAAACCCTGTGAAACCATGCAGTGGGAAGGCAGACTCCTTACTGCTACACTCACTCCTGCTCCAGTGCCCTTTTTGCATTTGGGTTCCTCTGGGCAAAGACAGTCATCAGTGTCTGTCATCGGGTAGCTCCCCAGATACCCAGGGACATCTGTCAAGCACTTACATAATCACACTCCAAGAGTAGTGCTGTTAGAGTCTATAGTTTTTGCTGCTCAGCAATCACAGCCTGGGAGTAAAAGGCCAGAATCCCAAGAGAAGATAACCCAATTTCTAGGTGAGATGCTCTTGGTGCCTCCCTGGTTTGGTCTGAGATGAGGAAAATACCTCCCCTCCTTTTCCCCAAGATCTCCAGTATTGTGTTCTACGGGCTGGAGATAACTGATAATCAAAGGACATTTTAATCAAAGGACTTGAAATGTTTCTCATCCCTCCCTGTAGTACTGAGGATGCATATCATCCATTGTCCTCAACCTGGAGGTTCTAGTGTAAATTCTGAGACACAGGAAAAGACCCATTCCATGGCCTGTTACATAGTCAAAACTGTTGATGTTTTCATGAATGGATTTTGAGTTTCTTGTCTTATTTCAGTAGTCTCTTCCCACCATCCTTGGGGTTATAAAAATGAACTTAATGTTTTTTTTTTCCTATGTCTATAGTTTTAATTTTTTTTTAACTGTAGACATTTATTTCACCTGGAATTTATTTTGTACATGTTAGTATCTAACTTTGTTAATTTTCTTCGATACAAATAGACAATTCTGTCAGTATGATTTACTACACCAAAGAATGCCAGCTTTGTAACATACTATGTTATTACATATATTTGGCTCTGTAATTTTACTCCTTCTTTTATTCCATTTATCCTTTAAATCAATCCTATGCCAGTATCATGTGTTTTTGATTAAAGTATGTTTCTATTCAGTGTTGACATCTGGAGTTTTATTTTTTTATAGAAATTAATAGTGTTTTTTGAATTGGTTTAATATCTGGTATTGTGTAATAGCACCCTTACTAATCTTTTTCAAAATCACTTTTGGCAATTTTTGCACATTTATATAATTTAAAAATCCGTTAGCAATGATACATTAATAGAAGAGAACTCTTCTGGGGCTCGAGAGGGTAAATGACCACTAGAAAGCGTCCACCCTGCATGGAAAAAGGTCTGTCTGTACTCCAAATCCTTCACCGTTCCACCAGGTAATACCACCATTCCCAAAGAGCAATCATTCCAATTCAGAATGAGCCTCAAACTCTTTTAGATTTACTTTGGAATAATCTGGCCTCTCTTATCCTCCACAGTGGATGTAAACTTGTCAGTTAGGTGTTTTTTCCTCTCTCGCTCATTAAACTTTGTTTTAATGGGTTTCAATATTCTGTGACAAATTTTTGGAAAAGTTGTTTCCATTGAAAAAGTACTGATTTTAAAACTAATGACTTAAAAGTGCCACAGAAAACAACAACAATGGTCCATGTAATATTCCTTTCCTTCTGAAGGTTTTACAATGCATTACTATCATAAAGTCTTTTACTATTAAACAGCCAGTTGAGACAAACAGTTCTGAGATCATTCTTCTACCACTGATGAAGACTGGAGTGGCAGGTGTTACAGGTAATATTCATTTAGCCTTCTGAGCTTTCTGAGCAGACTTGGTGACTTTGCCAGCTCCAGCAGGCTTTTTGTCCACGGCTTTGATGACACCCACAGCAATAGTCTGTGGTGTCACGAACAGCAAAACGACCCAGAGGGAGGCAGTGTGAGAAGCTCTCAACACACATGGACTTTCCGGGAACCATGTCAACAACAGCAGTCTCACCAGACTTCAAGCATTTGGGGCCATCTTCCAGCTTCTTACCAGAAAGGCAGCCAGTCAGCTCTTTGAGCTCAGCAAACTTGCAAGCAATGTGAGCTGTGTGACAATCCAGCATAGGTGCATATCCAGCACAGATTTGGCCTAGATGGTTGTTGTTGGATGCTGTTGTTGTTGTTAAGTGCTGTCGAGTCAGTTCCCATCCATAGTGACCCTGTATAGGGTTTTTGAGGAGCAGCTGGTGAGCTTGAATTACCGACCTTGTGGTTCAAACTGACTTTGCAGTCCAATGCATTAACACACAGCGCCACACCAGAGTCCAGGTTGAGGGTGATCACCTGTGCAAAGCAGCCAGCTGCTTCCACTACTGGGTCATTTTTGCTGCCACCAGCCACATTGCTACCGTGAACATCTTTGACAGAAACATTCTTTACGTTGAAGTCTACATTGTTCCCAGGCAGCACGTCACTCAAAGCCTCATGATGCATTTCAACAGATTTTACTTCAGTGGTAATGTTGACAGGAGCAAAGGTGACCACCATGCCTAGTTTGAGAACACCAGTCTCCACGCTGCTCACAGGGACAGTGTCAATACCACCAATTTTGTAGATATCCTGGAGAGGCAGATGAAAGGGCTTGTCAGTTGGAAAACTTGGTAGCAG